ATAAAATACTTTAAAATAAAGTTTTTACTTTAGTTAGCTTAAAAAATATTAACTATCTTTTTAAAAATAAGTAGAATAGCTAGAAAGCTAATAATGTTAAACTACATAATAAATGTTATTAAAACTAAATCTTTAGCCTCTATTAATAATTTTAGCTACTTACTTTGTTTAAATAATATAAAGATATTATAACTAACTTAAAAAGCTTTTACATATCTTTTAACTACTATATAAAATACTTTATAGTTTCTAATAATAGCTTAAATTAATAGTACTATAGATAGAAGCTTACTAAAGTAATTAAAATAGAAACCTTAACGTTATATAGTATATAACGCTTATATAGCTTATTTAATAAGTATTAAGTTAACATTACTCTAATAAAATATCTTAGCAACTAAAATTAAAAAAACAAATTAAAAAAAGTGTAGTTTTAAGTTATAATATAGTTTTAAAAAAGACGTCTTTTAATAGTAAAATAAGGAAATATAACTTTTGTATGATTAGCTAGAAACCTCTTTTTTTATATAGAAACCTTATTTTTTCGCCCTCTATATAAATAGGGTGAGTTTTACGCTTAATATAGCTAACTAACACCCTTAGGTAGAAAAAAAAAAGATAAGTTAATAAAATACTATAGGTGCTACTAGCTGCTATTAGGCGCACTAGCTTTAAGTTTAATACATCTAAGAGATATAATATACAATATAATATATAATTAAAACTATATAAAAACCTACTTTTTAAGTAGTATCACTATTATCACTACTACTATTAGTAGTTATTATAGAAGTAAAAGCTAGTTTAAAGTAGTTAAAATAGTAGTATTACTAGCTAAAAGTAGTTAAATTTAATTTAAAACTAGTTAAAAGTTATTATTACTAGTTATTATTAATAATTACTAAATATTTAAGCTAAACTACTTATTAGTAATTAAATAACACTTAAAAACTATATAAACTTACTAGATTCTCTTTCTTGCTTCTATATATTTCTCTTTTACTTATCCCTTTATTAAAACTTATAGCTTTTTAAATAGAATATTCAACCTTACGTCCCCCCTACCTTAGGTAGTCTCTAGTACAGTACCTAGGTAACCTACCTTCTAAACCTTCTTACTACGGCCCAGCAGCAGTCCTCACCTATCGCTCCAATGTCGCAGATGATGTTGCAGGCAGACATGCGCCGCGGGATGCTCATTTTAATCAGTGCGCTTCTTCTTCTTCTTCCCTTTCTCAACCTATTGCACCTTCTCATGTTCTACACTGCATCTCGCCTTTTTTTTGTCTTTTGGAATTCCCTAACTTATTCTGTCCGTACCTAGAGCAAACCGTACAGCAGCTGGTGAACGCATCCGTCCTGGGGCCCCGACATGCTCGGACGACCCGCGCTACAGCAGCAAAGCATGCCCGCGTCGCCGCTCACAATGCGCAGCTCAAAGAGCGCGAACTGCGGTTTTGGAAGGGCATCGGGGCCCTGATTCAGCGCCTATCGCCCGCCCAACTCCCTAAAACTCTGCGCATCGTTGGCTCGAACTCCAAGCTCACAAACCAGCAGCGCCAGTCATTGAATAAAATCATCTTCGCCGCCCGTAAATTTGCAATTGACCAGCGGAAGGCGCGGCAGCCCCAAGCTGATGTTGCTCGTGCGGTCCTGCAAGCTCTCCAGCAGGTCATGCCACAGGCCCTCCAGGCCAGGGACGCAGCGCTGCGCCAGAGAATCTCTGAATGGCAACGCACTTCTGGACAAATTCGTGTCGTTCATCGCGAATCTTCGTAGGAGTAGCCGCTTGTGATCAAGTGATGTCGTGAAAGAGATCTCACGATGCTATCCAGTAACACAAAGTGTGCACCTGGCCACACCACCATTTCCCTACAGGAGCGCCCCGATTTAGTGACTGAATTGTCCCAGCGTCCACTGTTGGCTCGACATCTTAAATCTCACGTCAATCTTGGAAGGGAAGCGCACAAGATTCATTCGCGGGACTTAATAACGGGGAAAGAAGGGGGGGGAGGGGGGGAAACGGGAAAGAAAGTACAAAAAAATTGGAAATAGAGATGAAGATTGGAAATATCACCCTTTCGAAAAGATGGTTTTGTTTCGCATGCGAGTGTCTGGGTTTAGTGTTCAGTGATGGTTCCTATCACAGCAGTGGGTTTCCACCACCTCAGTGAGCGAACATGCTCAAATTCAGACCCTTCTTGAACTCACCTCCGACTCAGCTGTATGTGACTCGGCTGACGATTAATACGAGCGGAACATTGTTTCTAAACTTAAAATAAAATAGAATAAATCTTTCTTTCCCAGGTCTATTGAAGTGGCTCGTTTGTGAAGTGAATTGTGTCGCTTGAGTGACGGCCTGCGATGGGAGCTAGGCCTTAACAGGCCATCCAGGAAATGCAACATGCTGCAAGAGGAAATCATGCCCTGTTATTGAAGAAGACTTTTCTCATCCTTGTGATTGATTTTCCAAAGTGTTTTGTCATCTGCAAATAGTCGCTGCCTCATTGAAATTATCCACAAAAGACACGATGAGTCCCAAGCATCATCCTCCCAAACCTCGTGATGTGGCGGCGTAGGATTACCTCATCTGTGGTATGCAGCAAGTCAGACACGAGTCGCTGGCGCATCGACTCCCTACATCCCTCACCAAAAATCGGCAGCGTCTTCGCACTTGCTTCATTGACGAGCATCAAAACTCCAGGTGTTGTAACCACGAGATGACTTCTGAGCAGGTCGCACCCCGTCACGTCCCAGATGAAACGCCGCATGCGACCACAGCGGAGCGGCGGCCTTGGTTTCCCCCAGAAATAATCGACGCCATCATCGACCAGATCGATAATCATGTCGACCTCCTGTCCATGGCTCGTCTCGGTCGCCAGTACACTGAATACTCGCTGAGGGCATACTACCAGCGGCACTTTCAATCTCACGGCCTGCCCTGGATATCACGGCTTCTCTGGCCCGCGGTTCACTACGACGACCCCATGAAAGACGAGCCCAGCCCCGAGGCAGAGGCGCACGCCCTCCGAATGATGAAGCGGGCAGCACCTTTCTGCAAGCCGGACGATATGAAATATCACCCACCACCGACTGCCTCCGATCTCAGCTACCTGTATTTCCACTGGAAAGGCGGCATCGGGACCGGCTACTTCTACGGCGAGTACCCCATCCTGCACCTGGCAGCATACTCGGGCCTCTACGACATTGTCGAGCACTTGGTCAAGAACGGGGCCGACATCAACGCGACTCCGCTACAGTATCCGAGCGAGGAAGATGTCCCCTTGGAACATCTGACACCTCTTTTCATGGCTTCGCACAGCGGCTCATTGGAATGCGCGCGAATTTTGTTGGACCACGGCGCTCGGGTCGACATGAGCTGGGCGGCGGCCCTCGGAAGCGGGAATGCAGACCTGGTGCAGCTCATGATCGACAGGAACCCCGCGCTGATCCACGAAGACGTTGAAGTTCATCGTCTCACGATGAATCCCTTTAGCGCCGCAGTGGATTTCCATAACGGTGACCCGCTCCCCGTCATCAAGACTCTGCTGCTCAACGGCGCGGACACGACGTACATGAATGCCTTCAACCGCAATGTGAGATGCCTCAAGCAACGAGAACATTTGCAGATGTTGCAAAGTGCTAATAATGAGCTGCTCTAGGTGCATGAAGAATCCGGATACATACATCGCCTGCAGAAATACATTGAGCACTTCCGTGCGGCGAGAGAGCAGGAGGGAAACGCCACACCCGCATCATTGATCTTTTGAATGCCAGCGGAAATATCGTACAACATCAGCTCGAACCAACGGAGAACCACCATCCTCAGTGGCATGCCTTGCCAAACTTCCTCAGCCTATGGTAATTATACGGAAGAGGTGTGAGGAAACCAGCAGTTACAGAGACGGCCGCAGCACCCCAAAAAGCCGGGTCATCCAGCTGCACGATGCCCCCAGTGAGGTGGTAGTCCACGGCGTTCTCGGCCAACTCCATCGTGATCATGGATATCATGCTCATGCCAGCTGCAGTCTTGGCCGCGACAGGCCACGACAACCTATCTTTTCCGAATTTCAGGAGGACGGTTTCGAGGAGCAATGATGTTGACAATCCGCTCGCCACTGCGGCGGATCAGTCGGTATCCTTCTGGTGCCTCTCGGCGACGACGCAAGACCTACTCGAAATGCCCATGACGGCTTCCATCGCCATCTCCGGATGAAAGGCCTGGAGGTACCACATGGCGGAGAAATCACCGAGAGTGCAGCCCACGAGACACCGAAAGGTATTGACACCAGCGCGACGCCATGTTGGCCTGGCAGACCAGAAGTCTAGAGAGAGAACCGACGGGGGCGGAGGTGGTGGCGGAGACGCTTCCTTGGATTTGCTGCAGCAAGACGACGGTCGCGAATTGGCAAATGGCGTGGATACCGACAAAGCTGACTGGAAAGCTGGCGTATTCGGTCGTCTCATCGGTCGTCTCAATGGGAATTTGGCGTCATATGGGTGTCGGCGCGAGAGCCGCCCGGCAAAGCAGAGCCTGGGTTGGATCATGTCGCTTGCATCTCGCAGAATTGGTGCGTTTGCAGGCGGATCACGGGTGAAACCTTTTTTTCCCGCAGCAGTCCCCGATCACGTAAGATGGAAGGATGCGGCGGCGCCGGTCCTTGGGGCTCACAATGGTACCGTCCTTTGGTTGTCTCACGGCATCAAACGGTCAAGCGCTTCAACAACGCTTCCCCCCCCCCCCCCCCGGCGCTTGCCGTCTCGTTTCGGAATTACTGATTGCTGTGGTCATTTTCGATCTTTTCTAGCACCGTCTCGCATCCGTGGAACCAATCGCTCAGCAACCTGTTTGAGTCAGCGCCAGCGCATTCAAACAGACATGCCGCCGTCACCAATTTGAGTCGTCGCGAGCACGATTTACTCCAATTTTCGTTTCTTCAAGCTTGGAGGTCTCTGAATAGACTCCTGTTGTTGGGTCAATATTGAAGCCATCGGCCAACATGGACAGGTAAGTTGTCATGTTCTTTGCAGGCTCGTGTCCTCACGCCGTCGCAGTTACGTTCTTGTGCAAAATCAGCCAGCATTCGATGCCGACGACGAACCCCGAAGCGAGGAGGCCGATCTCAATACGGACGAATGGTTCTTGGAGCAGCCTGACGACGCGGATAGCCGTCGCCGATATTCCAGCAGAGCGTATACGGGTGGAAGATCTTCAATCGGCACAATGGCTTGCGGCATCGCCGGCCCCATCGTGGCCCTCTAGGAGGCGGTCATGTGGTGCTCGCGTGCCGAGCGATTCTACTACCTGACGGAGGACCCTCGGCCTACGGCACCAGAAGAACGCGAAGCGATCCGCGCGGAGCGGGACGTCCAACGCCCGGGGGGGGGGGGGGGGGGGTGGGGTTCTGGCAACGCCGGGATGATGTTCCTCTGCGCACCCAGCTCTACTTGTTGCTTGCCGAGTATGTCATTGAGGTCACTCACACGTTGTTGCAGGATCACCACTCGCTCTAGGCCGGGGTGGTGGTAAGGGGGAGGCAAAAGTTGGTCTTTTCATCGTGTGACGCCCGATTTGTGATGTAGGTAGCTTCGTCAATCATTCACGACTACCTAGGTGGCGTAGGAAGTCCCACCCCGCCATCACGATTATCCCTCATCGTTTCGTGTGATTATCCATGCTTCATTTCTTTTTTCTTCTCTTGTTTCTTCTTCCCGCCATGGAACGACTGGCGCCAATCGGATCCTGGCCGCCAAGTACGAAAGGTACGAACACGTCATAGCGGCGTTCTTGTGCCTGGCCAGGCGCGTGGATGTCGCGTACTATTAAACTTTATGGACCGCGTCGTGACACGGTCAAGTAATGAAGGGAAGCGCCCCGCGCCCCTTCTTCCGAGCATCACGCACTACCTTATCTACGAATATCCCCCCCGCCTCCGAATGCCCCCCGCGAAATCCGCGAAAAACGCTACTGAACGACCTCCGAATACCGATCAACTCCCACCGATCAAAAACACGGCTCGATTACCGCCATGGACCCTGTAGGCGCCTTGGACCAGTTGACGATAGAAGATCCGGATAACCCGGTCGGCAACTTTTTCAGCATCACCTGGTTTGACACCGAATGGCACAAGGTCAAAGGATACTGCGACCCTCACGCGGAATCCTACGACTCCTTCCACGACTATCCCGACGTGAGAATTCCCCAGTCTGTCCTGGGCGACCGCAGGTGGTCCCCCGAACAAATCGATGCACGCGCCGACGAGCTGTGCCGTCGCCCTCTCGAGCACCTCGACACGGCCGATCTCGCCACCCTCTACCAGAACCTACACGACATTGACGAAGCCTTGCGCCAAATACAAGATGATTGGCCCGTCAAGGGTTTCTACGTCGGCTCGCAATTCATTGAGACCGTTGTCGTCCCTCCGCAAGAGCAGCATGCCTACTCCTACGAGGAGGGCCTCTCGGATTTTGAGGATGAAATGAGGGCTGCCCACGACTGGTACGATTCGGAAGACGACGACGACGACGACGACGACGACGATTTCAACGATGTTGACGGCCTGGGCCAGCCCATCTCCAGTGATGAGGACGACGACGTTGACGGCCTAGGTCAGCCCAACGTCGACAATGCGGTCGAGGCAGCGGATGGCCAGTAGTCGCATCACAACGCCAATGGCGCGGTTCAGCCTGAGAACGAACATGAAGCGCATCACGAGGCCGATGTTGACGAAGAGGAGGAACCCATCCGCCCCTTCGATCCCAAACCTTACTCTCTGAATGCCGAGGAGTACCAAGCCAGGTTCCACGTCGACCTCGCCAAACGGCTGCTCCAACGCTGTAAGCACATCCGGAGAATCGTTCGGACTCGGTCTCGGAAGCATATGCGACCTCTAAACCTCGGCGACATGCCGCACGACATTCTCGCACGTATTTTCGCCCCCGAGGAAAATCAGACCATCGTCCAGAAGGGATATCGCCCGCCAGAGTACCTCCGGAACAAGGAAGAGCTGAACCTGATGAAGTCTCTACGCCTTACTTGTCGATCTCTTGCGGACATGATCGCCCCGCTGCTTTTTTCCTTCCTCACTGTGCGTCTGACGGACGAATCTCTTACCAAACTTGTTTAAATCTCTCGTCACCCGAGTCTAGGGAGGGGCATCAAGACCATTCGTATCGCCGCCCCTTACCAAGATGCCTTCATCGCAGAAAATCCCGCGCACTTCGTCGACCACGTTCTTTATATCATGGTACAACGTTTTATGATCACCGATGAGGCGACTGGGAGAAGTCAATGGTGCGGCGGCTCGCCAGGAGAAGAACAAGCTTGTTACGAGTTCATGGCCGGCGTCAGACATTTCCACAGCCTCGATCGCGATGAGGGTTTCAATGCTCGGGTGCCGGGAGGCGATTGGTATGCCAGGTTTTCACAACACACGTTTCTCTTTCACTGCTGGAACGTCTATCGCAGCAAGGTGGCTGAGGAATTCCGCGTCCTGGATGGCATCTACAATGAGGGAGACAACTTTGTCCGATTAGTTGCAGACGCCATCGCCCGGATGCCCAACGTCGAGACCCTGACCTTCTCGGATCACTCCCATGACCAGCCTTGGATCATTAAATACCGTGACACACGCAACAAATTCACTGAAGAGCCGCTCTTTGATCTCTTCACGCGGGGGAGCAACTGGGATAATGCGAGGAACCTCCCCTCAGCCGGATCGCAGAATCGCTGTCTGTTGATGTTAGTAGCCCTCTTATCGACGATAGGAAGTCGCAACATCCAGCTCAAGCATCTCGAAATCAATGTCACCGCACCTAATACGCTCACCGGGTTCAGCGTCACACCCGATGCCAGGGAGGGCTTCCAGCGGGCTATGCGAAACGTGGAGTTTCTCAAATTCCACATCGCACACGACCCATTTAACAGGACGCCCATGGCAGGGAATTACCCCCCAAGAGAACCCGAAGAACTAGACAGCCTGGATGAGTTCCTCGACTGTCTTCTGTCGTCGAATAACCTTCGCGAGCTCGACCTGAGCTTCGAGTCGTTGCGGGAAGAGAACGTGGACGACCCCGTGAGATATTATCTTCCATCTCTTTGGAAAGCTAGGCCTTGGCCGCACCTGCGCAAAACCACGTTGAACAGCGTTTGCATGGACTCCACGAAGCTCAAGGGCTTTCTCGGCAACAGACCCCTGTGGATTACGGAGTTACACAAGCCGCACATGTCCTTCGGCACTTGGACGGAAGCCCTCGATGTCATGCGCGAGAAGTACGACACCGAATGGTCGCGACCTAATCAATGGGGCAAGGTGGATGATAAACTGAAAGGTTTGAACATTGGCGGACGTCTCTGGGAGGCCAGCGGCGCTGAGTGCTCGACGATGACTCGGATGGCCTACGCCAGGGCCTTTTCGATCCCGCCCGGCGGATGGCCAAAGATCAATGGCAAATACTCACATGAGGGGTTCTGGCAAGCACAACACTATATCTCTCATGAGCAGGACGTCAACCCTTGCCGAGACGTCTGAGTTCTCCATTCCTTTGGCTGTTGTAGTCCTATTAGAAGTCCTTCGGGTACATGAAGATACTCAATGCCTGCCTTGTCCGAGCGCCAGGAAAGTGTGAGAGGGAGGGTTCTTCCAAGATATCAATGGGACATTCTACCGTCGCTTCCAATCATCCAGCAACATGTAGCACATGCAATCCACCTCAAACGTTCGTGGTCCACGGTACATGCCGGGACACGCCAATGAAACTATCATTTGAACCAGTCACTCATGCGGCCCTTGATAGCAGCTTTGTACTTCTCCCAACCGTACTCCGTTCGGGGGGACATTCTCATCTCCCTGTGTAAGGCAAGTCAGCCATGCGTTAAACGTGCGAGGGGAACGAAGGGCGGACTAGCCTGCAAAACGTCCTCCAGTCCTCGGCGAAATGCGTAGGGTGATGCACGTTGCCGCTTTCGGCAGCCATCTCCACCACCAACTCGCGAAGGGCGTCGTTATAGAATAGATCGATGAACAAGCTCTTGTCGAGGTCGTCGTATTTGTGAGGAATGTTATCCGTCACCTTCCACTGGAGCGCGACGTGGGCGTCGAGGCAAGACCTGTTGAAGTCAAAGTAGTTAAAAAAGATGTTCGGAATCTCGCACTGGGCGACTGCCAGGAGGCCGTCGAGGAATTGCGGGACCGATAGCTTCTGCTGCGCCGGCTTTCCGAGATCTTCGAGGCAGCTCTTGACGTGCTTTTCAATCTTGGGGGGGAGGACGCCGTCGTTGATCGTGAAGCGCCGGAAGGCGAGGTCGTTGTTGACAAAGACGCCAAACAGGATAGGAGTCGGATGGAGCTCTCGTCGGTGGCTGATTTTGTTTCTCCGGGCGAGGAATCGTATCATACGATCGTTCTCGATGGCATTGCCATCTCGGAGCTCCTTGCAACTGGCGATCGGACGAGGAAACGAAAGAGCCTTCATCTCATCATAAATGAATGCCTTCTGCTTCCTCAGCTGGGTGATATGGCCAGGCTTTCCGCCCATCGCCAGCCAGTACGGCTGTGCTGCTGGCAGAAATTCTCGTTCATGATCTCCATGGACTCGAAGGCTGCTTCCGTGACGAGGCTGGCGGTGACGAGATCGACCTTGCCAGCGACATATTCCGACCAGATGCTCTTGATGTAGCGCCGGATGTCGCGAATTTCAATCAGCAAGCACCAAGCACCAGAGTTCGATTCGGGGATCGTCGACTAGGTCGAGCAGCTGGTTGCTCACGCGAGCAGCAGGCCTCTGTGTCGGAGTAGGCGAGGGGCACTCATCGGCAGGCTCCTTGACAAGAGATTCGGGATGGATGTCATCGTGTCCTTCGACATTGAGAACGCTGAACTGGTTGATGAAGCTTTCGTCCATGTCAGGGATGGGCGCCGAGTCGGTAGCGGGACGAGGGACAGGCATTGGTGCCGGAAAGAGGTCGAGAATGCGTTGAAGACAGTCAGTGAAGAATCGATGGCTGTCGTCGGCGTCAGAGGTAGCCGCCGAGCCACCCGCAACGCAGTGTGCTCCGACTTTGCGACGAAGGCTGACTGCTCGTTCGAGGAAAGAGCGCTGCATGACAGGCATAATGATGGAAGCCTTCTTGCAGGCTTGGGCCATCGGGAGCAGATGCTGGGTGGATAGGTCTGCCGACTGGGAAGGAAGGGATCCGGCTTTCATGACCTTGTTGGCCTGTCCGAAAAGCCAGTTGACAAAGGAGGTGGTGTTCTCCTTGTGACGAACATACTGACTATGGACAGAGGGCGGAAGCATGATGATGGATCATGGAAAAATGAGTTTGTAGTTGATTGAAGTGGTTGAAAACACGAAACACTACTTGGAGTTTGGTTGGTGACACAAACGGGCAATTGAGGTCGGAAGTGTACCTAGGAGAGGTTGAGAAGGCGTCCCAGAGCGGAGGATCGCAGAGCTTTATCTCTGTCACCCGCTACATCGACTAGGCTGCTGCATAGACAGTTGCATGACGGATTTTGCAGATTGTGCGTCAGTCTGGCCGTCGAATTTGTTGAGTCCGCTCTCCAAGAACTGAATGAGGGAAAGATGCTCGTCCATCGGGTGCTTGCATACATGTTTGCAAACTTGCAGATAGGCGAGGGGCCAACAACAGCCAACAGCCAACTGTAGGATGGTAATTGAGAACACTTTCAAGTTATGAGCTTGAAAAGCCGTCTCAGGAAAAAGGAAAAAAGAAAAGAAAAGAGATTGCCACAAGTTCAGTTCAGTGTAGCGATTGGATCCAAGGCCCAGGGTTTGTTAGTCTCTCTAAGATATGAACAATGCTGTGCTGTGTTCACACGTGGGAGAGACAAGATGGCGATGGTAACACGATATGAGGGGCGGACCACTCCACCAATGCTACATCACTTGCTCCTGATTAGTTAGTCTTATGGCTGTTGGCAGGCGGAAGAGCACGACACCCACAGGTCCAGCCTTATTCCAAAATGCATGCAAGTGTTGCATAAAGTAATGCACATGTCTCATTATGTGCTGGATCATGGAGTTTGGGAGCTGTCACCACTTGGGTTAACTGGGACATTATCAGGGCCTCGATCTGTTCTCGTTGCAGGTTTCCAGCCAAGGATTGGTCAAAACATCACGAGACTTGGGCCATACAAGGGATCATGACAGTAACCTCTCTGGCAATGCAACAGTGAAGTCTAATTGAGTATCTGATGGTGTCAATGTTGACTCAACTTCCATAAGCGGCGTAGCCATCACGACCCTTGGAGTAAAATCGAACACAGGAGGCAGTTCCTCCCTTGCACTGACTCTTGGCGGGAGCACGACTCAAACACGGCTCTGGTACAATGGGATTAGTCTCCCAGACTTACCATGCATCACGAGGAGAAAGCCTGGGCTTAGTAGCTTCATCACAAGCTGACGACACTACTTCACCTCAGCGCTCAGTTCAACGAGCATGGCTTCGAAAAGATATAAAGCCGAAGCACTTATCTTGTTCTGAAGTCTCAGTTGGCTCGCATTCCGCATAGATTTCAACGCATTCACAACTTCCATTTGAGAGAACACTGCGGAATATCACGAAACATCAATATCCCAACATGCATTCCCTCCAGCTTCGCAAGGCTTCATCAGCACTACTGGCTTCGCTGACCGTGACCAGTTCGGTCACCACCCGACAGTCATCCCCACTTTCTTTACTTGGGCCGATCAACCTTGGAATACCGAGCATTGACATCAGCTCTATTTCTACATCACTTGTTACCTTCGCCGACGAAGTCATCGACATCTCCGGCATATCGATCTTTGGAAACGTCAACGATGACACTGTCAACTGTACATCAACCACAGACGAGACTGACACCGCAGTGGTCGGTCCAGTCTCTGTCCCAGCTGAAGGTGCAACTCAGATCAACCTGTCGTTGATTACGTTTGGGGATGAAGTCATAGACTTCTCAAACGTTGCGATTTTTGGAGATGTGAATGATGTGGGATGTGACTAGATTCAGGATCTGTATCCAATGGATTTGTGCGATGTGTAGCTACGAGAGGCAGCTTTCTTGTTGTAGTGTATCACGTGTAGAGAATTGAAAATGAGTTGACCAATGTGCACGGCTTGATGCAACATCAACGGTGAACCATCGGCGGAGCAGTCCGTGACTAGACGGTGCCGAACCCACCTTCGGTGTCGGCCGGCAGGGGGCTGCGAGTTGGAAGCCGGAAGGGGGCGTCTTGTGAACTCTGGCATGGATGTGAGAAGTGATGCAGGAGAGATACCAGCTCTTGGCAACTTGGGCATTGTGACTCAGACCAAAGACATCACTTGAATGACATTTCGAGCGGGCGGCTCCATAGCCCAAAGCCCAGCTTCGCAAACGGACGCAGCGCTACCCCTCAGAGCAGTCGAATCGCACGATGGCGCGCAATTATCGCAAGATCCCGTGTTGTCAATGAAGTATCGATGCTGCGAGTTGCTGACGTGCCATGTGCATGGCATTCTCCTAATTCGGAGACCGGTGTGGAAGAGGACGATGAAGAGGCCGCAAAGTTGCCGGCATTTTCTTGGCGACGGCAGCCAAGCTGGCTACAATGACAATAGCGCTGCAAGATGCCCAGGATAGTAATGCAAGACGCAGCCCCCAGCGCCGCTTGGATTTGGAACGCCAGTAGTATCCCGCCGGAAGCGCGCCCGCGGACGTCTTGAAGAGGACCCCCAAAACTCTTGCGCCATGCCCAAATTGTGGGTGATGAAGGATGCATGATGGCGCATGCAAACGGAGCGAATTGAGTTTTGGTGGGCAGCACGCCGAGCCTACGCCTCCAATGCACCTTCAGCTCATTATCTCACGGCTACTGCGGATGCAGGGCTAGACAGCCTGTAACGAATCAACTACTCACGCCGAGACCCAAGGGTTTGTTCGGTTTTGATAGGGTGTCCAGGTTGTTCCTCACAAGCAATCACTGACACAGGCTCGGGCCGTTGCCGGTGTCGCTGCGGAAGGTATTATAGCTACCTGAATAGGAACCGATGCACCGAGCCCATCATCCGTCTTCACTTGCGCACAAAACAACTCGAATCGTAGCCGATCTTGAATAATGTATTCGGTATCTGAAAACAAGGAAAACCGTCTTCGATTTGTGACGCTGACTCGGTCAGTCACGGTTAGGCTCAATGACGGTGTAAGATCTCCAACCCCCATGTTTGCGTGCATGCTCCAAGGCATCCTCGTGGCCATCTAAACCGAAAGTCGTGATTTCTGTTCCACTTTCCTGGCCAATTCTCAACTGCTCCTGAGTGATCATATTGATGACCTGACCAAGCGTCTGACGCTCATACATCCATTTGCCGATCAGTTGGATGTTTTTCAAGATAAGAAGCCCGTATGGAAGGCGGCATTTGTCTCCCGCTCCTCCACTTAGTACGATCCTTCCACTCTGCTTCATGGCCAAGACCGCAGCTGAGAGGTATGGCGGCGTTGCCAGCTCCCCTGGAGTCCAATCGTTGAACCTATCGGCGCCCCTGTTGTTTGGCGTTGCCCTCAGTATGGCTGCGGCGTCAACTTGATCGTCTCCAGTCATGACGACGGTTTTCAGGCGAGGGTTTGCAAGCTTTTCCCGCATCGCTGCCAATTTGCCTTCACTCCGGCCCAACGCGATCACCTCAGCACCAACAGCGAGAGCAATCTCGACCGCTGAACCACCAAATGAACCACCAGAAGGTCCGACAACGACGACCTCAGCAGTCTTGACTCGAGCGGCTTCTAGTAAAGCGCCGGCAGCCACGGCATAGTGCGCAATGGTGTGGAGGACAGCTTCGTTGTAGCCCAAGTCGCCGCAGAGACGCTTCTCATCAAGTAGAAAGCAGGTTTCCAGTGGAACCTTTTGATATCGTTGCCAGGAACCGTCTCGCCAAACCCCTCTCATGAGCTTCTGGGCGTTTGGATGACCTCCAGTCATGTGGCCGGGCATGAGGGCGACATTCGCGTCGTCTCTAGCCCTGATCAAGCCGTCGACGAATGCGAGATCACCCTTTTTGAGACGAACGGCATCCGGTCCAACGTCGTAAATGCGTCCTATGCCGGATGGATTTGGGACGAGCGGTGGCGTCAGGTTGAGAGCAGGAAGTTTGCCTGAATGGATCAGGTGAGTAGAGGGAGCAACGCCAGTGGCTAGAATCTTGACCACTGCGGATCCTACGTCCGCATTTGGCACAGGGAGATCCACGACGGAGAGGGGTTTCGAAAAGGAAGAGAGCTAAACGGCACGATTGGTAAGATCAACAGCCGGCATTTTGTCTTACTGTACAAGTGAAGGCCACAGCGAGAAAGGGGAGCTTCAAAATAATCTTGAGAGCTTCACTCTGAGGGAAAAGTAATTATGCTGCGTTTAAGTAAATATTCACTCTGAGCATTTGAATTGACCCGGAATCTCGGCAACGAGCTGGGTTCCTCTCGGGGAAGGTTTGGTGTGTCTCGGGCCGTATCAGAAACCCGATTTCCTGGCCGTGATCGGTCCAAGAGGCCGAGTGCATAACACAAGGTTGTACGGCGTAAACTTAAATTGACTTCAGGAAATCTGAGACAAGAGCCTCATTATTATCTGCAGAGCTTCACCTACAGAACTTATCTTCACCATACAAGGCGCGAATTAATTGAGAATATTTGGCAGAAAGGGCACGAGGTAATTCATACATCCTTTCAAAGTCAGTAGACTAGATATCTGCGAATTCTCGCACAGTTGTGTATGCATGACAATTCTTCTCGGTCAATTGATTATCACTTCCAATACCAAACTTTTGCACTTTGCTACGAGCTATGGTGCCCCCTGCTACTGTCACGGAGGCTACGCAACCAATCGACTTGCCAAACGGAAACCTCAGATATCTCCTCCCTTGGCGGCGAAGAGACCACCTACTTGCCGCGCAACTTGGAGTAGATGCTCGTCACCAAACCTCGATGTGACAAGAGATAGCCCCACTGGCATGTCATCCTCACCCTTAAATCCGGGAACGTTGATGACGGGCATATGAAGGGCCTGCACATGTCAATGAGTACGACAGCTTCGATGAGATAGAGGTAGACTTACCGTCCACATGGCGTTGAAGTCTGAGCTACCGGTCCCCGTCCCTTTAGGTGCCACGTCTATGGCACTGGGTGTGACAATCGCCGTGTACCGGTCAGCGATCTCGTCCATCTTTGGTCTCAGCGCTGCAATCTTGTCCAGAGCTCTCACGTATGCTTTCTTCGACCTCGTGTGAGCAGTCTGTGCAATACTTGCGAGGTAGTCACTGATCTGGTCCCGCGAGGTGCTATATTCTCTGTGGAAAGCTACACCAATTTCGGCCTCCAGTATCTCGTTCTGCAGAGAGATTATATCGTCGAACTCATGGGGTAACGTGACTTCAACAACATGCGCGCCGGCCTTTATGAGGATTTTGGCGGCTCGTTGCAGAGCCGCAACGGTACCGGGCCCGGCACTTGGCCATATTGGCGACTTCACGAAAGCAAAAATTGCCTTATTCAATGATATTTGCCGAGGTGGCTCATCATCACGAAGCCCAAGCACTTTGCCTACTTGTTGGAGGTCGGCAATACTGCGCGCCATGACGGCAAAAGTATCCAGCGTTAATGACGACATCTTTTGGCCTTCGGGTGAAATGGCGTTCCATGTTGGCTTGAAGGCGTAGACTCCTGTGAATGATGCTGGTCTGATAGTGCTTCCAACCGTCTGAGTGCAAAGAGCATTCGGGACTTGCATATCTGCAACCGCGGCGGCTTAGCCGGAGGAGGAGCCGCCGGGTGTCCTCGAAGTGTCGTGTGGGTTTCTTGTGCCTGGTCCCTCAAAGGTTGCTGTGAATTCCGTGGTGGTTGTTTTCCCTGTGGGCATCGTCAGCGCTTGCTCGGTTGAAGGGACCCTTGTCACTTGGTCACTTGCCTAGAATCAGCGCCCCGTTCCGTCTCAATACAGCGACTGACGCTGCATCGCAGAGGGGGGCATCGTTGGCATGGATCGGTGACCCATGGCGGGTGGGGAAATCTGCGTGCGGAGTAGTTAAACCCGGAGTCTCCTATCATGAGCAAGAATGGATCTTACCCTCTGTTAGGATGGCGTCTTTGACGCCAATGACGAATCCATGTAGTGGCCCTCTTTGTTCCCGTGGGATTCGGTCGAGCAGTCGAGCTTGTCGAAGGGCCCTGTCTGGCTCGATATGTGCCCAAGCTTTGATATCTCTATCGCGTTCTTGGTATCTCTCAAGAAGCGAGCTGACATATCTTTCCAATGTTTCTTCATCTGCATCGATGAGACGCCGCACTTCGGTGGCCGTCATCCTGAGGTGAGCGGAGCGGTGTACCGGAGATGTCTCCATTGCAATAGCTGAAGAGCAGACCGCGAATGGCTGTCTGAACTTCACTTTGTCAGAGATGGTCTGATATTGTTGAAGGTGTCTGTTTGGTAGATGGCGCTACTTATATATGTTGACTGCACTGCCCTTCATTCATCTACCGGATTACATGCCTTCTACCTACTGGCATAGAACACCCAATCCTGCCGGTCTATCAGCATTAATGCATCTCCGTGACTGCCATCCGATTTCTGGCCGATGAAAACGTGATAAGGCTTGTTGGTGCCCACCATTCATGCATTTTTCCAAAATGGGACAGATGAGACATGATTGTGCATGCGCATGCAGCAACCAACGTGGCAGTCCCACGTTGAATGTCAGCATCAAGCCGGGATCTTGCAATGCTTGCGGGTCTTGGGGGACCAAACATTGGCGACAACAAATTGTTGTGTCAATGCAGCAGCGGAAAACCGTTTGCGAGGATTATTTTCAGCGCAAGGGGTGATGGTTACCCGGAAGAAACATCTCTCTGGGTGTTGTCAAGATTGAGTCAACGGATGACATTGCATCCTCAGTATTCACTAGAAAAAACACCTTTCAAGATAGCATCTTGTATAACGCATTGCTTTTGACGCGCTTTTGCTTCGGTACAAACCATTCAATTGTGCAGACCCTCATCCGCGTGAAGGAAAATCATGCTTTAGTATTCGTGTCCAAAATTGCCCTGGCTTGCAAATCAATATATCTATTACTCTACTATATGCTTTTGCTCAATCATCAGCATGGAAAATCACAGCAACTTTGACGCTTTCTGCTCGTCATACATTTGTTCTGTAGCTTAGGCAACCGGCCACCAAAGATTTGGAGACGAAGGGACTTCCTGCCCGGCATTACTATCGAGTAGTCTTATAGGGAGCAACCCTGGAAGAGAGAATGACTAACATGCAATTTGAGATATATCCTTTTGGATCCATAAATCAATTACAAGATTGTGACTAAACGAAGTACTAGCACGATTCAGTGTAACTATTCATGTGGACGGCCATGGTGTTTCTAAGCTACTATCATTTGAAAACACTCGCTCGGGGCCAAAGAGCCTAATGCAATCTTCCTAAAGATATTTCCAATCTTGTTTGCAGAAAAGCATCGCTGTGTCTGTCCGTAACTGGATTTCTGTCGCCAAACTGAGGCAGCGATGGACCGTGGTGATTAATCCCATGGATTAAATGAGGCACCACAAAGAATTCGGAGATGGGAATCATCAGGCTATAGAAGAGCCGCATTGGTGACTGATTCCCGCCCACTCAACCTCTATGTAGTCAATTCTGCGCTGGAATTCGAGACGCTATATCCCGAAAGGCGTTCCTGCGAAGGACAAGATGACCACCCTTCACCGAAATCCGAACCAAGAGCTCCGCTTTCAGTAAAGGACTGTCGAATTCTAGGCAGTGACAGAGTGATGAAACCATGTCTTGCACTTTGGTCACTCATTCCTCAAATATGATTGGGCATGAAAGAGTAATCCGGCTGCCGCCGCATGGCACAGCCAGGTGCGCCGTAAGCGACGAACGATTCTTCGCACTCTTGAATCCCAGAAAACCTTCGCCTCCACCAGATCCTAGGCTTCCTTTGACGGGTTCGCTGACGGCAGGCCAAGGCGGGATCTGACATGGGTCTCGCGCCCTGGATCTGTCTGGGTCAGCACAAAAGAGCCTTTACCCGCACTTTTTTAGCATGAGGGAAGCAGGTCCCTCGGCACATCGACGATGCTGACATCAGCACGGAGAATCCTTCGCCTGAAGTGACCAGGGGTGATGACCCGACTGGACAGCGATCCACGACACATCTTGCCTACAGTCCGTTGTACTAATAGCGTCCGCCCCCCCTTTTTACTGAAATTATACATGCATAATCCCTATATATATATATATAGATTTATTTAATACTATATAGATATTTATGGTATAGTAATTAACCTATTTTAATAGCTTTAATTAATCTATTTCTATTAAATTTCATAATTTAAAAATATTATAATACTTCTTAAGCATTATTATACACTTTAATAAGTAGATGAAAACTTATTTAGGTATTATTTATTATTTATTATTAATAGTATATAAGAATAATAATATATATAATAACTAATATAAGATATTATTAGAAATCCTTTTTAATATTCTATTTTATTATTAATTAGAATTATTATACTTACTAAAAAAGCTTATTAGATTATTATTATTAGAAAGACTATTAAAAAAGCTATTAAAAAGGTTATTATTATTAAAATCAATTTTAAAGTTAATAATTTAGTAGCTTTTAAATCTATATTATAAAAAAAGTATATATATATATATGTATAGCTTTTTATTATTATAAAAGGCTTTAAAAATAAGTTTTTATTAAAAAGTAATAATAATAAAACAAAAATAAAAGGAATCTATTATAAAAGATTTAGTTTCAAAGTATTCTATTTTTATTAATGTTATTATTTTAATTAGATTTAACTTTAGTTAATTTAACTTCTCATTAAACTATTTAATTTATAAATAATATATTTATAGCTTTTCATTATAATACTAATAATATATTTATATTGTTTTTTAATGTATTTAAAAAAGAGGAAGATATAAACAATAATAAACTAATTCAATTATAAATTTAATTATTTATAGTTTAATATTTACAAATAATAATGTATTTATTGTTTATTTAATTATTAAAAGTATTATATATCATAGATTTAGTTTTATTAATATATTAGATATAAATAATGGAGATTAACAAATAGATAATAATATTTAATTTAAAATAGAAATAGTTTATTCATATAATCTAAAAAAAGCTAATATTATTATTATTATTATTATAAGAGCTAATTAATATATTTAAACTAATATTAATTGTTATTTAAATATAATTATTTACTAAAAAGGTTATTTAGCTAAATATTTTATAAATTAATATTATTCTCTCTTTTAAATAAGCTAGGAAAAGAAAGAAAGATTTATTTCACTGTTAAATAGTAATATAATATTATATTAATCTCTAATACAATAATAATTAATATATAAACATTTTAAAAAAGTAATTAAATCAACGTTTTAATTAATATAACAAGAATAATTAATTATAAATTTAATAGTTTTATAAGTATTAAATATTAAAAAGAAAATATATATAAATAATCTTTTTATATGTAGTTATATCTATTTGGAGTACTATGAATATAAGAATAATTTAAATAATAGAAAGTTTTATTAATATTATATATTAAGGTAAACATATCATAAAATTAAATCTTATTATGTAGAGAAGTAAATTAAAGCTATTATAACTAAATAAATTAGTGTTAATAATATAAGACTATTTGAAGAACTATTTAGTAAGGTTTTTTATAATTAGTTTATTAAAGATTAAAATTACTAGAATAAGACAAATAAAAATATTATTAAAGTTAGTAATAATTAAAAGATAATAATAATAACAAAAAAGAAAACTAAAAGTATTATATTTCTATCATTAAAGTTAAGATTTAGCTTAAGTAATACTAATAATAATATTATTATTAATATACATAGTAATATAAAGATATTGAATTATTATTTTTAGTACTTTTACTTATATATGTAGCTATTATTATTAATATTATAACTATTAATATATTAGCTATAAATAAATCTTTTACAATATTTATTATTTACTTTTCTATTATTAAATCTTTTAAATATTTATTAACTAAATGTTATATCTTTAATACGTTTATTTTTATTAATAGTATTAGATTTACCCTAAAAAGCTTTAAATTACATAGCTAACTTTATTAAGTAATTTATATCTATCTACAGTAAGTAATATAATATTAATACAAAATTGAAAGAAAGTTATATAAATTATACCTAATAAATAGCAATTTATAAATAATTTATAAATTACTAAATAAAGTTTCACTGAAAACCTTATTAAAGACATCAAGAATTTAATTAAACCTTTTGTAAATAATAATACTTATTATAGAGAGTAATTTAACAGTTTTTTAATATAATATCTTATTTCAACTTTTCTTTATATTATTAAGAGTTAAAGAGAGATATTTATATAAGAATATATATTAAATTACTAAGAGAGATAATAATAATATTAATTAAAAACTCTATAATATTAGTTTTAAATAAATTAAAGTTATCTTAATATATTAGTACTTTAGTTTTTAGTTTTATTTTATTATTAGTATCATAGATGTTATTTAAAAAATTATAAATTAAATAACATAAAGTTAAGCTAAATAATAAAAATAATTAGATTAAAATTTTAAATAATACATTATTAATAGAGATATATTACTTAAAAAAGGATAGAGAAAATAAGTAATATAATAAAAACAATTTAAACTTTAATTACATATATCATTTTT